CGTCCTTTTGTGTGTCTCGGAGGTGATTTTATTTGTTTATGTTCATTTTAAGTCTCCTTGCGTTCGGTTCTGACTCTCTGCGGTTGGTTTGATTCTCTTTGTGCTCTGTTTGTGTGTTTTCGTTGCCGTTTTGCATCTCTTGGAACTTCTTTTCTCTCCGTTAGTGTTGATTTTGCATCTTTTTGCGTCTCTTTTATTCAGTTCTAACGTCTTTCTGGTTATTTTCAGTGTCGTCTATTTGTGGTTCGAGTGTTTTTGCAGCTGTTTTGCTTGTGTTTATCCTTTTGTGTGTCTAAGAGATGATTCTATCTTTGTTTCTTTGTCTGCTCGTGTTAATTTTGTGTTTCTTTGTATTTGTTTCTGTTGATTTGCATCTTTTTCTGGTCTTTTTTTTAATCTCTTGTGTGTCTCTTAGTGCTTGTTTTGGGTTGTTTTGTGTCTCTGCTGCTGTTTTTTTTTTTCGTTGGCGTGAGTTCGTTTGGATCCAGTAAAAGCTGGACCTGTTCAAAGTTGTGAAAACGGAGGAGTGTTTACAGAAAGCCTCCCAAAATACTGGATTAATCCTGGAAAGCTGCTGATGTTTCTCCTCGTTAAAGGACCCACCTGGACCCCACAGACCTTCTTCTGGTGCTTAAAGTCCCTCCTCACTCCTGATTCTGCTTTCGTCTCATTTCAGCTGCTCTCAGACATCGAGGAGCATCTGAAGTGCACCATCACACAGTGTGAACCCGACCTCAAAATCCCCGTCGACGAGTTCGACGGGAAGGTGACGTACGGACAGCGCAGAGCTTTAGGAGGTAACCGTGACGACACCAATCACCGTTTAAATCACACCTGCGTCAGTGTGTTCTCTTCTTTCACGCTGATCTGGACCGACACGCCTGTCGTCTTTGTGCAGGTGGGAACTACAAGGGCCACGTGGACGTTTTGGCCCCGACGGTCCAGGAGCTGGCGAACCTGGAGAGAGAAGCCCAGACGTCGTTCCTTCACCTGGGATACCTGCCCAACCAGCTGTTCAGAGCCTTCTAAACACTACACAGTGGAAGACGCAATGTGAAGCTTCTGTTTGCATTCAGGCGAAAATATATCAACAAAACTCCTAATTTACATGAATTAAATATTGAAAGATGTAAAAAGGTGTCATCGAGTACGTCGACCTCCTCCAACCAGATCCTTGTTGTTTGGTTGAGTCGTTTCTCCTCCAGATGTTGAGCCTGTTGAGGTTGAAGATCGTCTTTAGTTCCTCTTTAAAGTTAAAACAGAACTGAGAACGTTACTGGAAATGTTCTCGTTGATGAAGTCAATATTTAAGTTCACACGTGGAGGAAAAAGTCAATGAATTGAAGTGACTCGATGTTTTCTTTTCTGAAATAAACTGTTGGACTCAGTGTTGCTCAGTCTGGACTCAGTTTCTGGTGTTTCATCTGGAGGGAAAAGGCAAATCTATGTTTGGGCCTTTTTTAGTACAAATTCAACTTTTGGGCACAAGTTTATATCAGTTAATACATTTTTTTCACATATTTACATCAGCTATAAATGCTTTTTAATACAGTTTAGGGTTTTTCATGTCTATTTGTAAAATGTTGTATCAGTTATTACTGCTTTTTGTTCAAATGTACTAGTTTTAAATGCTTTTGTAGACAAATTTACTCATGATATAAGTGCCCTGTTGTGTACAAATTAGTTTTTTAAAATTATTTTTACGAATATTTGTATCTGTTATAAATGCGTTTCTGCTTAGAAATTATATCAGCTATCAATATACTTTTATTCACAAATTTATGTAGCTTATAAAAGCCTTTTTTTCATTCAAATTTACATCAGTAATAAATGTCTTTAGTGTAGAAATTAGTCAAATCATGTTTTACATTTTTGTGCATAACTTTGACATCAGTTTTTATTTTTGTTCACATTTTTTTTTTTTATGCATTTTTCTACACAAATTTACATAAGTTATCAATGCATTTATATCAGGTTTTAATACATGTTGTACACATCAATTTATAGGCTGTTTTTCCTGCACAAATCTATCGGTGAAAACGTTTTTGTGCGTTTAATTTTTACCTACTTGTTTTGTGTTTAAATAAATTCTAAATAAATAGCAGGCGCATGTTTAAGAAAAGTATTTATTCGTTTCTGAGGTCATATAACAGCTTTGAGCTCAAATTGTTGATGAAAACTGATTTTTTTTTTTTTCATCACTGACCATCCGGTTTGAGACTTTTAATTTGAAATCCCGCTGTTGTCTTGTGTCGTCAGTTCCGGCCGCAGCCGAGAGTCATTTCTGATTCAAACTAGCGACTTAAAATCATTGACTTTTGCATGAAAACGCGTAAAAAGCAGCGTGTGGACGCAGCGTTTGGAGTCCGGGAGTGAGAGGAAGGTTCCGGGTCCAGGAGGTGAGTCCGCTGCTGCGTTTCTTCATGTTCTGATCGATCCTAGCTCAACTCAAACCGATCGATCCTGTTTGTTTTGGGCCTTTATTTACTGTTAACTCGCAGCTTTCCATGTTCAGGGAGAAAGTAGCTCAGCTCTGTGCTGCTGCGGTGCTGGACGGGACCAGGACCTGGTTTTATGGAGTTAAATGTGTGTGTTGTGGCTCCGGGACGAGGCTCTGGTTAGCTAGCTGGTAGCAGCAGCTAATGTTGTTTTAATGTTGTGCTAATGAAACTACTGACTGCTGGTTTTGTGTCTCAGACTCACTGAGGAGGAGGATGGCAGGATCACGCTGATGCTGTCAACAGAAGACCAACACCAGGACTTCAGGTGATACATGAAGAACTTATTAGTCTTTGTTGCTTTTATTGGTTCTCTGTTTAACGTACAACAACAACAACAGCTTTATGGAAGAAGTTAGCTGGCTAGCAGTGGTGGCTAGCATCACAAAAACCAGCTAATTATGGTGTTACTAGCATGGTGCTACATCCAGATAACTAT